TTTACCTACAAGATGGATTGCTCCATCATCAATCAAGATGTTGTGGATGCAATTCTGCGAAGATCGATCCACCAAAGTGTCGCAGTTTGCTTAGTAGAGAAGTGCATAGCAGCAATGATGTGGAAGCATACAAAACTGTAGCAAGATTTTAGCATCATTTCTCCAGGTATAATCATTTTTGGATGCAGTATAGAAAACGGTGGGCAAAGATTTTGAGATTCACCTCGCCTTCGAACCATGCTGCTTGCGATGATTGCCTCGAGTTCAAGGAATTGTTCAAGATAGCGAAGGTGTCTTGCAGTCACAACTGAAACTGCACACAGCTTCCGTCTCTCTCTCTCTCTTTCTTTTTGAGATGCACAGTATCCAAACAATTCCAAACACACAAGGACCAGCAAATGGCTTATGATGTGGCGAAGGAATACAAGGAGCATATCGACAGCGTGAAGAGGGATCGGGAGTTAGAGGAGTGGCTCGAGGCTGGATCATTGGTTCGATCAATATTCATCTTGTGGAATGTAAATTATCTTAATGAGAATTGATGCTTGAGGAATTCTTGATTGACTAAAGTGTTTGCAGCTGATTCGCTTGTGTCTAGGCACAGACTCCTTTACAGAATCCAGCTCCTCTATGTATACACATGGACCGGCAAGTGCAGATTTCATTCCCTGGTCCTTTCTCACCTCTCGCTTTGTTGCAAAAGTTCTGATTTTTGCTCTGGGGTGAAACTTGCAGGACGGCATGGATCAGGCCGAATGGAGCATCCCCAGAAATCGGTATTCGACCTGTCCGAAATCCATGGCAAACTTGGCACGGCCCAAGTTCAAGTGCCAGGGTGTTTGGCTACATGGACTGATTCTCAAAGTATGGGTCCTAGATCCTCGATGCCCAAGTGATGCTTCAAGCGTGCTGGAGACGCTCACGAGGACGATAGAAAGGGCCATTTCCATGTGTCATGACAAGGGGATCCAGCCGCCCGACCAACTTTTGTGCTGGGTTGCCAGATTGCAATTAAGGTCTTGAAGATTCTTGAAGTCTAAACTGCTGCAAACAGTTATATATCATATTGAAGTCATTTCTTTTGGCCTTCAAGTAGTTTTTTCAAGTGTTCCATTGGCTTCCTGATATGAGCTGCTTGAGGCTGATAACTGCCCACGTGAGAACAAAAACAACACTGTGCTGAAGTGGATGCGCTATCTCACCAGCAGTCTCAAAACACGTGTAGCTGCATTGCTTTTCGGGCGATGCGGACACACTCACGGACCCTTAGGCTACTGGGATGTATTCATTGTGTTTCGAGAGTGTGGCACATATGAAAATTATCCTCTTGTCATTCATTGTGTTTAGAAACCTAGACCAAATCTATGGGCTGCTGGCGGTCGCGTTCCGGTACATCGATGTGCTGTCTGATGCAGCTGATGTATCCCAGACACTTGCTACAGTTAGAAATGTGACTGGCTGCTCCTGGACTGCTCCGCTCAATGTAGTGCACAAAAACCAGCGTCTGCCGCTGAATTTGACAGTGAACTTGAGCTGACCCGGTGCCTTACACTATCATATCCAAGGAAGCTTCTCGAAGTGCTGCACAAGATTGGCATCCGGAAATGGCTCGGGGAGCAAGCGATCATCGAGGTCGAGTACATTTCTGGAACCAGGAACTTCAAGTCATGGATTCTTGCTGGAATTGTGTTTCCATGTTCTTCCCAGTGTTTGCATAAAACTTGAAAGGATATAACATAGCTCACATATAGCGCATAATATCTATTGACATAGTTCACAGGTCAATGACAGAAACCATGGCAGCAACATAACTCACTTTCAGCCCAAGTTCAATCATCGCTGCTAGCTGGCCCAGGCTCAGTGGAGCGCCGGTCACCTTCAAAGGTGGTCTTCGCGACGACGCGACCGGCATACACAGCTTCATGTTCATGTTGCGTCGAGGCGCAATGCTTGATGTCAGCAAATCAAAGAACCAAAGGGTGTCAGCCACACTTGATGTCATTCCCTAGTTGCTTTGGACCCTGACAGATCTACCTCACAACATTGTGATTTCAGAAACTGGCCGTGGAGCTGGAGGGGAAATGCATCCATTGGACGTGATCGTATTGGTCAAGCGGTATGCTGCAGACCAACAAATGTGTCAGGATTGGGGAGCTGTTATATAGTTGCTTGTCATTTGGACTGGATTGAACATAGCAACAATTTGTTATTTACCTAATTTTTGGCAGGAGGCCCAACTTTGCTTCCCTCACAGATATTTGGCGATGCTGGGACCTTGCCCTTCTGAGCCTAGGGCCCTTAGCGCTCCTATCAAAAGCAAGAAACAAGATTATCTTGAGATTGCAAAGATTTTGCTTCGCAAGCACCCATGCGAGTCCAGTAGAAGGGCTTGCAAATTCATTTTGACATTGTGCAACAATGACCCTCCCCAAGCGGTTCCACGCCTTCCTTGGTTTGAGAAGCCGCCCGGGGAGCAGGTCCTTATAGACCTTAACAGCCAAACTGTTCTTGGCAAAATAGCACCATTGATGCGTTTCAATGCAGTCTTGGGCAGGTGATGCTCAAGCACTCTGGGGGGCGGGGAAAAAAGATTCAACGTGAATTCATCTCGTGATCTGAAACACCCAAGTTGAGACGTAGATACCTTCAGGTTGAGATGTGCAGTTTTTGCTAGCGCTTTTTGAATTCATCCGTATGGCTCCAGCCTTTTCCTGTTTTCAGCTGGCCGAAGGCCAGGGAGTTAACTTCCCTATTATATAAGCTTTCAACGCTTTCAAACTGTGACACTTCACCCACTGAGCTCCAGCACCACTGCAGGTGCCAGCTGCCTGCACTGGATGAGCAGCCCTACTGGTGCAGGAAAGGTTCGAGCACTCAGTTCAATTCCATCCAACAATGAACAACACCGAAACAACAATCCACTTAACCGTGGGAGCTGTTGCTTGCAAGGTCATGACTGTGTCGCTGGAGGAGTGGCACGCTATGGATTCCGCCTCGCTATGGTCTGAGGACAGTCAAGAACTGGACCCGAATGAGGATTCCCAGGCTGTGTGAGTTTTGTGTGAATATCATGGGCTGCCATCGCAGACAGAATGTCCGTAACAGGTGCCTTTACTGAGACCTTCAAAGAGAAGGAAGCTTGTGGTGGAGGCTTTGTGGCGGCTTGCATTCATCTTGACAAGCAAATAAATTATTGCCCCAGGTTTTGGCATAAAACACATATGTTCAAGATTCTTGCACAATACATTCAGCACCTGAAGTTGATACTTCACCAGGTTGACCGGGTCGAGCCATCTTCAACCTCATGTGCTTTTCGAGAGGCTGTTGGAGGGATGGAAGCAACAACATATTTATCATCTCTAAAATGTTTTCCATCAGGATCTCAACACTGGCGAGCAACCGGGTGACCTTCAGGTGACCTGTGTGTGCTTTACATGCTTTCTTGAATGTGTTTGACTGATGCTGACCATCCATACCCCCCTGCGTTCTCCCGCCAGGGCAGATGTGATCACGATGAAGCGGAACCTCAGTGACAGCGGGCAACAGCTAGTTTGCTTTTCCATGCAAGGGATGGCTAATTAATGCCAAACTGCGGTTGTGATCGCAGAAGTGTCAAAAATATCAAGCTAAACTGTGACAGTGCTATATTATATGACAATGAGAAAAAACTGAACGAAGACATCATGCCATATCTTGTTGTGTCCTTGAAGCTTGGATGTACGAGTGCTCTGACATTGGAGGAAAGTTGGTTCAAGAACCTGCTGCACCTCGCTGTACTTAGGGTCGGACAGGCATGGTCAAACTTCGCGACGCTGTGAGGGCATGTCTTCAAGCCTGCAGGCAAGACAGCTTGAGTTGCAGAACTTTCATGTGAGAACTGATGTCTTATTGTGCTATACACCTTTCGTTCATACATCAATTATGATGGTAGTTAAACATGTTAAAAGCATAGCGCCGTGCAAGCGTGTCAGGAGCAAGAAGAACAACAAGAAGGTCTGTGTGAAGAAGGCTCTCAAAAGGCTGGGGCCTAGCTCTCCTTTTTGGGGTGCAGCAGGCAGGGCGCAAGAATGCAACATTTCACGACTTACAGGAAGTTCTACCCGAAGACCAACGTGCCCATGGCTACAGCTGAGCACCCAAAGAATTTCAAGTCTGTTAAGTCCACCTTCAAGTGGGCGACCATCTTCTTGCAGAACGCTGCCAAAAGATATGGGGCCAGATTTGTGTGTGACAGTTTGAAATCTTGGAGGTGGCAACTGTCCACATGTTTTACCGGCGTTGGATGCGCTGAAACGGTGCAAAACTTAGGTTAAGAGAGGCTACACCACCCAGTCACATTTGCAGCGCGTCCGAATGATTTGATGCATACTTAGGCAGCTTTGTCCCTCCAATCAGCTGCTGCTACGTTCATGCGAATGCATCGCCCAGCTGGTATTAGGAGCTTTACTGAGAAGGTTGTGTTGGCGGCCGGCTGCGAGATCAACAAACCATGCCAAACTGTCTTGCTCAAGACTTTTGGACCACCGATGGAAGACATTGTTTGTTTGGTGATGTCTTGAGCATTGATCGCCAGAAAGGGAAAGCTTTCTGCCTTGCCCACAACAAGAGCTGTCCACTGCAAAAAGCCAGCTGCAATGGACCCTCAGATAGATTTAGTGTTCTTTGATCCTTTCCGCTCTTGCTCCCATTCTCCTGCCCACTCTTGGCCCTCAGTCTCTGCAGTAAATCACTTTTTCACTTCATGAAGAGACATGGTTACCATGGATTAGATGTCACATCACGTTTCAAGAGAGATGTCAGCGGGTTTCTTCAAAAAGCTGGGCCAAGGAGTGAAGACCAGCATTGCTGGCCACAATCTCAGTTCAACCTGTTCACGTTTCTGCTTCAACTTTTGGCAAGCCATTGCTGAGGCCCTGTGTGCTTCCCGTTCTCTTTGATGGGCAGCCGGCGTCAAATGGCTGACCCCCCACTTTCGCACACACACTGCCTTCTATAACAACATGGCTTGTGATCAGGACCTCAACATCATTGAGAACGTGCCTGAGTATCCGGAAAAGATCATTCAGGATGCTCTTGGACCCGCCTTCGTGGTGACCGCTGTGAAGATAGATCCAAGGATCTTTGGCCTTGCCGTCGCCCGTGCCAGGATTTATGCGATTGCATTTCGCAAGTCCAAGCTTCGATGGAGGGCCGAGTTTTCAGTGAATGAGTTCTTGGATGCGATGACTTCACAAGTCTCCCTGACTTCCACCAACTATTGGTTTCGGAAGCTGCCCCGTCAGGTTCTCTCAGACAGTGATGACACTTGGGTCAAATTACGTTCTTTCATGAAATTCGAACTGGTTGGTCCTTTTCCAAAGCCTGAATCATTTAGCCGTTCAGCAAGTGCTAGGCCTAAGTCCTTCATGATGTTGGTTGGGTAGGAAGCTATCTCACCATTCTCGCCCAGCAGAACCGCCTCAGGCGAAGAACTTGAATGATTATGCGAACTTGCGCTACAAGAAGGTGGTCGACCTGAGCCAGTATGCACGAAACGGCCGTGGTCGTGGCGAGACAAAAGACAATGCTCTTTGCACACTGACAACGAATTCTGGAAAGTTGTTTTCGAAGGACATTTTGCTGTGTGTTTATTTCAACCACTCAGTGAGATATAACAGCAGCAGCATTTGAAACTAAGGTTGTGTCCAGGTTCTAAATGATGTTTATCTTGTTGTTTGGAGGGAAATGTTTCATGGAGAGTTGAAACGGATGTCACAACAACTGAGAGACTGATGAATGAATTTAATATCTTAGTGACCTTTGCCATCGCACTTGACTGTGTAGTCTCCGAAGGCTCTTCTGACTCTGCTTGTTTGATTTCACTACTAGTAATATCTAGTAACTCTTGACTCTTGACCACAGCCGAGCGCTCTGGGACCACCATGAAACTTGCATACCCTATCAAACCCTTCAATTCTTCTCTCCGACATTGGGGCTGCAGGACCATGGGCGCTTCCTTTCTGCAAGTGAGCTGCTGGCATCTCACACGTTGCCAACTACGGCGCAGCAGGCAAGGTGGTCTGGCAGTCCGATGCTGGAGCTGGGTGGAATTTCAGAATCCAGCAAAATCAAAATGAGCGGGAATGGCATGAATGTGCCTTGTGTTGGATGTGTGATCCTTTGTTGTGTGTTGGGCCTAGAGAAAGTCTAAGCTCTGCTGTTGGTACAGTGCGGCAGGTATCGAATTTCAATGCAATATTAGTATTTGCCACTTACGGAGCATGATGCACAGAACTAGTTGCTTCCGAATGGCTTGCAATTCAGTGTCCCCGACACACAAATTCATGTGTTGGTATGTCAAGGGCATGATTGCTTCGGTGTCAGGCTGAACGAAATCATCCGATTATGTTTCAATATGTGCTACAGTAGGAGGATTCTCAGGAAACTCCCTTTGAACACCGACAGCTGCTCAGTACAGTGCCAGTGCCTTCAGCGATGGCGAAGAGACCTCTGCCGTTGGGTGGGGGCGCTGGGCGGAGGAAAGCAGTTAAGATTGAAGCAGATCACCCTTGGGCTGATAAACTTTTGGGAGAAGCAAGGCTGGGAATGCCCTTTGCACAGTCTTGCTATTTGTGTTGTCCGTATAAACGTTTGTTCTGTTGATTGGAAAGAAGTTCACATGCCACAAAGTCTTGACCCAAGAAAACACAAACATCATATTTAAAGACAACAAGTCTTGTCCCAAGCCATACTTGTCCAGCTGGGTGCCAGGGCCTTCGACGTTGCTGCTGGATGCCATCCAGTGAAGTTCTGCCTGGAAAAGCAAAGCAAGGAGGTGTGCCCAGCATTGCACGTATGGCTGAACGAGGTTGCCCCGGGGACAGTGGCAGATTTGGAGACAATCACAATTCCTGCAAATTGGCTGCAAAGTGTGAGAAGAAACTGGGTGGGTTCTGGTATTCACCTTCTTTCACATTGTTGGGTGAAATACTCTGTTGAATCCAAAGTGATGAGTGAGCACTTGAAGATTAACGTTCAAATTCACAGGTTTAGTGGAATGTTTCACACTTGAATAAGTGGCCCTCGTTCTTTTGATCAAAAGAGTTCTCATGGCCACATCCTCAAACCTCTCTTCTTTCCTGATCAGTTATGGGCTGCTGAGGGTAGTGGCACTGCAGAGATGATGCGGCCTCTGGTCCTCGCGCTATATCTTCAGCATCCAGCAGATGGACTACCATTGTTGCAAGATTGGCTGACTACAGCAGGGGACATCTACCACACTGGTTTTGAGGGGTGGAGAGAAACCATTGAGGTTAGGTGCAACAGCACATGTCTGGGGCGTCCAATCGAGTATGGGTCTTTGAGGCCAACAAAGGGTGTTGGCCGCGCTTCTGTCATCATGTTTGCGATCCTCTACACCTTCCACGAATTGAAAAACAAACTGTCCAAGGAAGAAACCGATGATTTTGCCAGGCTCAACTCTGGGGCAACTTGCTGTAAAGACTGTTCTAGATGTCTCTCTAGTTCGCTGTGTGGGAGAACATAACGTTGTTGCGCACATTTAACTTTTTAGATCCCCAAACCAACTATCAATGGATATAGCTGCTGATTATTTATTACCAAACCAGGCCCGTAGTTAGTTGCACTCCCCTATTGCCAACCAGCCCGTTTCTCATCTTATGGCCAGACAAGGGTATCACTGCCCACATTGCAGCAAACTGATGTTCAGCTAATAAATGCAAACATGTTCTGAAAGCTAGCTTGCAACTGTGCATATAACTACCAACTAACACCCAGTGAAGTGCATCTACTTACCAGCAAACACCAGTACCAGTGCAGCACATCTAACTACCAACTAACACCCAGTGAAGTGCATCTAGTTACCAACTAACACCAAGTGTAGTGCATCTAACTACCAACTATATAGCACCCAGTGCAAGTAACCACCAACTATCCCAAATTGCATTTGATAGCAAGATAATGCCCAGTGCAACTAACTGCCTGGAATCATTTGGTTCGCCTCTAACCATGATTTTGTAACTTAATTTAAAGGTGACCCTGAGGCTGAAAAGGTCGCCTTCCCCCTAGCCACACAGGCACCGCCAGGCCTTGACCACATCTAGCACCTGAAGCTCCGGGTAAAGAATCTAAAGGCTTTGATATGTTTCCCCTTTGAATTTATCTTCCTCTGATATGTCATGATGATAACCTGTGCCAGATCCGCCAGCCAAAAGGTGAACCTTTCAGGCCCAGGGTCGCCTTATCTTGATTGGTTTCTAAAACTGTAAAAGGTGATGATTTTAATGACCAAGCCTATATTGTGACCAATTCTGCAACTAACAACAAGTCCATGTAACATGGATTGCATCTTACCTTCGCAAGTGCATCCAATTCTGCAACTAACAACAAGTTCATGTAACATGGATTGCATCTTACCTTTGCAAGTGCATGTTACCAGGAGCATGTGATGCAGTTACTCTAAAGGTGATGTTTTTGCTGCTAGGGTCGCCTTGCGGTAGATACTGAAAACGTCGCCTTTTGTTTGGGGTCGAAAAGTTCACCTTCTAGCTGAACCCAAAAGGTCGCCTTCTGGTCTGTCAGGTGGTTGAACTCTCTGTCCACGCTCCGTGTGACTTTGATGGACGGTCCAATGTATTGCTTGGAGTTTCGGCGAATGCAGATCCATGAGCAACAAGCAGAGAAGCAAAAGAAGAATCCGTTGCAGAAGACACTGCTTTTCTCAAGGCGTGCAACATCCATCATGTTGTTGGACTCTCTGCTGCATTGTGCTGATCAAGTATGGAGTCTTTGGGGTCACCTACACCTACCTTCAGTGATTTGTTGAACCCAAGAATGTTTTCAATATGTTTTCTAAGTCCCCTTATTTTTGGGAGAAAGCTTGATGACTCCTTCTGCCAGGAGCCGGACCTGGCAGAACGCGAAGCTTTCCTGCAAGCTGTGGATGAGTACAACAGCTATGGCATTGCACTGCACAATCCCAAGTGGCAAATCGATGAGTGTGCAGCTCAAGGCCTGGTTTTGGGGTTCCAATGGTTCCAAGTATCAAGACACTCTCAATGTGCCCTGCTAGGTGGGTGTCAGCAAACCTGTGTGGACCATGATTGAGAACCACTTGCATGAGCACCGCTTTTCAGAGTCAGGTGGGGGGGTGAATCAACTGCTGACATTGACTGCTAGCATCCCTTGGGTGGTGAATCAACTACTTGCTAACATCCCTTAAGTTTGCTCTGTGATTTAAAGTGGCCCCTGCCAGCCTTCAGCGCGCAAACATTGACATCAACTAGATGGCTTCTAGATGGATGCGCTGAGGGAATTGACAACCCGATTTGGCACAACATATTGAAGGTCGATGCGATGAAGCAGGAGCTTTTCATGAACCGAATCATTTTTTCTGCACAACCGTGCCTCCAAGCGAAGTGGCAAAGCAGCATCTTGTCACCTGGCAATTTCTGAATGGTGCAGCGAAGTGGAGCGCATGTGTTTGGCCCATTTCATTCACGAGCAAATGGGGATGGCAGTCAACAGCGATGGTGCTCCGCTGTTTGAGGAATCTGCCAAGTCGAAGGTGCTGAAGCGAACCATTGATGGGCCCCTAGGCTTTTATTAATGTGTCGTGTGTTTTTGGGGGGCGTGGTGCCGCTGTGTGGAATCCCCTGCCCCCACCGAATGGAATACAATTTCAATACTGCCAACAGCTGTGCTTCAGGGACTACACAAATGAGCTCAACGCCCTCCTGACGGTGAAGGATGGTCAGTTCCAAGCCCATCATACAGAGATTTGGACTCTGGGCTCTGCTTTCGTTTCATGTTTTTTATATGTTGATTTTCGAGTGTGGAAGTAGAGATGTGAGAAGGTATTGACAGCTGATTCCTTGAGGTAACCATAAATCCCCACTTGAAGCCCCGAAAGACTCTGCTCCAGTGTCTTGAAGCGCTGATGAGGAAAGAACACATTGTGACACTTCCTCCAGCTGCACAGTTTGCAACAGTGGATGGCAAATTGGAAGAGCTTTCCAAAGATGCTCGCAAGATGGTATTTGATCAAGACTGCTTGAAGCTTACACGTGATGTTGCACAGTTGGGATGCTTGTACCAAGCGGAGGTCAAAAGCGAGAGATCCAACCGCGTTCAACGCGTACTTCATTTGAAGCACCAAAACCGTGTTGGAGCCAGTGCAGTCAAACAGTTTATGGATCTCAACCTGCACTGCGTCACTGGAAGACCTGGTGAACTAGAAGCTGCCGCCGACAAGGCAGAAACCTCATCAAACTGAGTTGAATCGTTCACAACGAACGTTAGTATTAAAGAAGTCGGTAAGTGTGTTCCTCCTGTTTATGCCTTGAGCCTTGAGCGCTATTCAAACACAAAACCATGACTTATGAATTGGCAACATCTTGCAATTTGGACTTATTGTGCCCCTGCAGTTCATCAATGAACTTTCTGGGCACGATCGTTGGTCTGGCAGCATCGTTTGGTTGGACTTCACCAAGTATGGCAAATTGTCTGGGAGTGACCTCAATGATTGCTGCGATCTATTGGCCATGATCTTGGGCAGGAAACCTCAGAAATCAGTGGGGCTCATCATGGCGCCCCATTTGATTTCGGAGAAGGTGCACAACGGTCTCAGGGGGGAGATGAGGAGCTTTGCTGAAAATGTCATGTTTTTTTGCGCCCGTCATTCTATGAAAAGTGTGTGGGTGTGTCTTCCAAAGCTGTTTTAGGATTGTATCCCGAAGATCAATTTGGAAAACTGTGCCCCAGCCCATCCAAGGAGGATTGAGGACAAGCTTGATGCCCTCGGGATTCAGTCACAGCTCATCATGCTGAGGATGGCTGCAGCGCCCGGTCAGAAACATGTCCCGCTGCAGTTTCCGGGCTGGATTTGCATGGAGGAGTCGACCATGGCTGACAACATTTGGGGTGCTTCTCAGCTTGTGGCAGACCGGTGCGGTGGAGAAACGTGCACGCATGGTTTTAAACACCTGAAGCCGGTTATTTGCTTTAGTGTGATGTGTTCATGGAACACTCGCCCCCACCCTGTAGGTGCACACGCTCCAATGCTAGCTGGCTTGCTGAGAGCAACTATGTGGTCCCGGCAGCTGGAAAAGACATGACTCCGTCTTCTGCAGAGACGAGGCCCAATATCATTCCGAAAAATCGTTGGCCTTGTTTTAGAATTGGGTGATTTTTGTTAGTAGATAGACTATGATAGACTCTTGGAGTTAACGTAGCTAGATCCAGCCCCAACCCACATTCCCAAACTGCCCTGGCCTTTCTGGACAGGTCCATGTCAGCCTACCAGGAGAGCGCTCAATACCTGGCTGGCAAGGATGTTGTGGACCAACTCTTGTCCAGCCTCTTTGCAAAGGTGGCCATCCCGGAGGAGGCAGTGGTTGGGCTTTTCAATTTGAGCCCTTACGATGCCTGGTTGGAATTGACTGCTTACCAATGGCCCCGGACCCACCAGGGCATGTGCATTCCAGTTGTTTCGCTCGGCAAGTCCTTGGGGGTCAATGAATATGTCGAGAGATCACTCGCTTTGAAGCTCATGGAGGACCTGGGCTAAACATGGGCTAAACATATTTAACTATAAGTTTGGCTTACAACCATTTACAACGGATCTGACTGACCTGTTTGCAGGAGTGGAAGCGTGGAAACCATTTGATGGGAGAGCGCACTCCCAAGTACAAGCCGGAGTTCGAACCGCCTGAAAAGGTGGAGCTTCAGAAGTTCCCTTTGCAAATCGCAAAGATCGATACCATTGCTGGCAAGACTGGCTGGGCCAAGTACAAAATCAGTTTGCCCCAAAGCTTTCGTTCCCTGCACTACAGCGATGTTCTTTTTGGACCAGATTGGCGGGAGCTTATTGCAGACTTCGACAAGAAGCCTTTTGGTGGGAAATCACAGCAAGTCTTCGTTTCTGGTAGAGTCATGACCCAACAATTTAGTTTCCCCAACATCCTGATGCTTGTTTTTTGCCAAGGTTTGAAACCAACCTTGTTTCAGATGTGCTCTCTTCATCCGGGGCACCTGAGAGCCTCCCGGACACCGTCAGCGACAAGCCGGCCTGGGAAGAGCCAACCACTCTTGAAGAGTTGACGAAAATGTACCACATTGAGAACAGGATTGCTGGCCGGGTCGCTGGCACGACACTCTACTTAGTTCAGGCCAGGGCCATCGATGGTCAAATTCGAGAAGTTGCTGATGAAAACGAGAAGTTCAAACTGTTCTTGATCCCTTGCCTTACTTTTTGCATTGCCTCTGCCAAAAGAAATTTGAATCTCTCTCTGTAGTAGATAAAGTTTCCATTTTCGTGTCATTGCACCCAGGGTTAACCAATCACACTGAATCTGAGGTTGCTCACACACCTGTTGCTGTTCCAACCACAGCTTTCCAGCTGGGCCATGGATCCTCCAAGTTCCCGAAAGCTGACAAGATCTCTACCATGAAGCGGGAGGGCAAAACAGGCAGGGTCACTAGCAGGGTCATTTTCATTCAGACTTCAGGTATACCTGCTGCTTTCTGTCTTGTTTCAGGGTCCTCAACCATCATATTTTTGGCAGTGCAAACTTGCACATGTGCCATTGCAGGGTCCATCCTCCGGTTGACTGCAGTGCAGGATCAAGGTGTTGGGTGTAGTGAATACACAGGCAGGATCCATGGTGCAGCTGGATCAGCTTCTGGCTGAACATGGCTTTAACCAGGACGGATTTGTAACGTTCGCTACTTGATTAATATTTGTAACGGTCGCTGTTTAACATGGCTTAAAGCAACGGCCACCAGATTCCAAATTCCAAATCTTTTCCCAGGACTTTGACAGGGTGGCATCTGCTGACCCCGGAGTACAACAAACCCCTCCAGCTCGTGTTCTGGGCTTACAAATCAAATCGATCATGCTTTCATTGCACTTTTCATTGCTTCTGCAACAACATGTATAGTCCATTCCAATGAGAACTTTGTGTTTTGACATCGTCGCAGCCCAGGTCAGATCTATGTCCCCGCCAGATTCTTCCACACCGGTTCCACCGCCAAAGGATGTAAGAGATGGTGGTGATCTTACGAGTCTCAAGGGTAAAGTGGAGGCGGAGGTGGCAACAATGGCTGAGGCTTCAGCCACTTCTGAAGGATGGAAGGCTTCACCTTTGCCGATGTCGTCATCTCTCAGCTCTCAAAAGAATGACCCAAAGCTATCTCCATGTGAAGTGGACAGCCTCTCTGCTCAACTTGAAAGCACTTTGCAGGTACGGAGGGGGCGACCAAAGAAAGAGGACAAAGAAGAACCCAAAGATGTGACAAAGGAGGAGAAAGATGAACAGCCGGAGAAGGTTGAGAAGAAAGCAAAGGCAGCAAAGGACACGGAGGAGAACATTGAGAGGACGGAACATGAACAGAGTGCAAAAAATGAGGCGAAGGAGGAAGATGAAAAGACTATGAAAAATGAGATGAAACAGAAGGCTGATGCAAAAAATGAAAAGACAAGCAAGAAGGAGAAGAGCAGGAAAGATGAGGAGAAGAAGGAAACGAAGGAGGACGAGGAACTTGGCAAGAAGGCATCCAAGATTGGAGTAAATCGCCTCTTTACGCATCGTGCTCCAAAGTTTGCAGCTGTCAAAAGCAAGGCTAAAGCAAAAGCAAAGTCGAAAGCCAAACAGGTGAAACGAAACAAACATGAAGATGATGATGCAGAAGAAAACCCGCTGGATAGCGAAGAAGACCTTTCTGAAGAATACTCAGCTTGGGAATATGAAGATGATGATGAGGCCCTCAAACCAAAAGACCTGCGCAAAGAGTTCAAGGCCGCAGCTTTGAAGGAGAAGGGCAAGAAGAAGGCACAAGAAGACGATGAGGAAGATGAAGATGCGCCAAAACAACGGAAGGGCAGCAAGAAGATGAATGGAGAAGGCAAATCGAAATCTGGCAAGTTCAGCGGAACTGGCAACAAGTCTGACAAGAAGAAGGGGTCAGAGAAGGCGGATAACGAAGACAAGGATTTGAAGAAGAAAGCTGCAAAGAAAGAGAAGCAGGAAAAGGAGGAGGACGATGAGGAATATGAAGACAAGGATTTGAAGAAAAAAAGCTGCAAAGAAAAAGAAGGAACAGAACGAGGAGGAGGATGAGGAATATGAAGACAAGGATTTGAAGAAGAAAGCTGCAAAGAAAAAAGAAGGAGCAGAAGGAGGAGGAGGATGAGGAATATGAAGACACGGATCTGAAGAAGAAGGCTCCAAAGAAGAAACAGGAGGAGAAGGAGGAGGAGGATGAGGAATATCAGGAAGAACCAAAACCAAAGAGGAAGGCAAAGGAAGACCAGGAAGAAGTGCAGCGCAAGGTAAAGGATCAGAAGAAGGAGGACAATGAAGATGAGAAGGCAAATGGCAAAAAGGTCAAGAGTTGCAAGTTCAACGGGACTGACAAGAAGTCAGAGAAGAAGAAGACTGAAGAAGCCAAAACAGGCAAGAAGCGAGCAAAGAAGGAGGAGAGCGAGGACGAGGATCAGAAGAAAGCTGCAAAGAAAGGGATCAGCAAGAAGAAGGCTGAGGCAGATGAAGAACAAGAAGTAGTAGATAAAAACATGTTCACTGGCAAGGAGAAAAAGGAAAAGGATGATGATGCGGAGGAGGAGGAGAACGAGGAACAAGACCCCAGCATCGCCAAGAGTACAGAGAAGGATGATGACAGCGACAAAGAAGAGGAGGAAGAAGCAACACCAAAGGTGAAGGGCAGCGAAAAGAAGGGAGAAGGTGAAGATGAGAATGCTGCTGACAAGAAGTCCTTGAGCGGAACTGGCAAGAAGTATGCAAAGAAGACCAGTAATGAGGACGACGATGTGAAGAAAAAGAAGAAGGCTGCAAAGGAAGAGGAGGAGGAACATGAGATGGCACATGAGGAGGAAGAGGATGATGATGTGGAAGATGAAGATGTGCCAAAAAAGGGTGAATGGCAGCAATGCCAAGGATTCCCAATCTAGCAAGTTCAACGGAACTGGCAAGAAGTCTGACAAGAAGAGATCAAAGAAGGATGATAACGAACACAAGGATTTGAAGAAGAAAGCTGCAGCGAAAGAGATGGAGGAGAAGGAGGAGGAATATGAAGACAAGGATCTGAAGAAGAAGGCTGCAAAGAAAAAGAAGGAGCAAAAGGAGGAGGATGAGGAGGAGGAATATGAAGACACGGATCTGAAGAAGAAGGCTGCAAAGAAGAAGAAGGAGCAGCAGAAGGAGGAGGAGGAAGAAGAATACGAAGACAAGGATCTGAAGAAGAAGGCTGCAAAGAAAGAGAAGGAGGAGGAGGAGGAGGATGAGGAACATGAGGCAGAACCAAAGAGGAATCAAAAGGCAAAGGAAGACCAGGAAGAAGTGCAGCGCAAGGTAAAGGGCAAGAAGAAGGAAGACAATGAAGATGAGAAGGCAAATGGCAAGAAGGTCAAGAGTGGCAAGTTCAACGGGACTGACAAGAAGTCAGAGAAGAAGAAGAAGACTGAAGAAACCAAAACAGGCAAGAAGCGAGCAAAAAAGGAGGACAGCGAGGATGAGGATCAGAAGAAGAAAGCTGCAAAGAAATTGAAAACACACAAGGATGACGAACAGGAGAGCGATGAACGAGAGGAAGATGAGCGCAGCTCAAATGAAGGTGAGGCAAGCAATGACGAGTCGGAGCCGGAAGAGAAGAAAAAGGTGAAAGGCAAGAAACGCAAGAGCCAGGCCCCACACTTCTAGTTTTGGTAGTTTTGGTTTTGGGTCAGGAATTGCATTGGGACCTCGTTGAATCCCTTGACTCGTTTCACTCTTTTGCAGGGTGATGTGATGAGGGATGCCTATCACGACTTCGTCAAGACCCACATGGCATTGGTGAAAGATGAGAATCCTACTATGTCTGGCCGGGATGTCTTGAAAACTGTGAGGGATATGTTGGAGTCCCAGCCATGAGATTCAATTCCAACGTCCAAATCAAAACACACACAAATGATCAAACATGATGTTCAAATCCAATCGCTCTAAATCAGTGGTTTTCATTTTGGTGCTCAGGTGGAAGGTGTCTGAGATCCGCGCCAATTGCATCCGGAACATGACACCGACCCAGCGAACTCGAAGACGCCTGAACAATGTGTGAGCTG